TCTTCCGTATTATGGAGGCCGTGTATATGTGTTTCTATGTATGCATGTATGTATGTTTTTGGGTCGATCCTAACAGCCCTTTTCTTTACGCACATCCCCTAGGTTACCGGGCGAGGCCCAAATCATCTTCCTTATTATGGAGGCCGTGTATATGTGTTTCCATGTATGCATGTATGTATGTTTATGGGTCGATCCTAACAGCCCTTTTCTTTACGCACATCCCCTAGGTTACCGGGCGAGGCCCAAATCATCTTCCGTATTATGGAGGCCTTTGCGAAGGAGTACTTAGCCAATAATCCCGAGACAAGCGCTGATGAAGATGCAACGTTTGTGCTGGCGTACGCGATCATTATGTTGAACGTTGACCAACACAACCCTCGTATCAAGAATCGAATGTCTGTGGATGATTTCAGGTGCGTCTACTCACTGGTTGAGCTGTAGTCAATACATATGCATGTGACCCCATGTGATGTTTTCCCCACATGTTGGCTTGTAGTACGGACATATGTATGTTCCTTTATATTTGATGTTACCCCACATGTTGGCTTGTAGTAAAAAATTATGTATGCTTCCTTATATTTGATTTTACCCCACATGTTGGCTTGTAGTAAGAACATATGTATGTTTCCTTATATGTGATTTTATCCCACATGTTGGCTTGTAGTAAGAACATATATATGATCCCTTATATTTGATTTTACCCCATATGTTGGCTTATAGTCAGAACATATGTATGTTCCCTTATATGTGATGTTTTCCCCACATGTTGGCTTGTAGTACGATCGTACGTATATATATATATATGTATATATTTCGTATGCATGTTACATGTAATGTTCAGCCCTACTATATCTATTCGCATACACATAGGTGTTCAGATGGACGTTAGTGTCATTGACTGCCTCGCATTGTACGGCGAGTGTGTTACAAATAGTTCTTCTATGCTGGTGTCTATGCTCCTCATTTGGAGCGCACAGCTGCAACAATATGCGCAGCAAAGTGCGCTTGTCACAGGGCGATTAAACGTTGTTTGTGCTTGTATTAGTCTGTATTTAGAATAGAAAAAGATTGAGGTGTATGGAATAGTACAGATATTGCTATCCCTAAATACATAGCCTTGTGCGGTAGGGTGATGCAAAAGCTGTATGTGTACGGGAATTTGTGATCACGATACTGAATGCTAACCTTCGCAGCTATCGCAACATAGGTTGCAGAAGTGTGGAAGAATGCGAGTTCGGTTAACCACTTGTCCGATTGGAATTGTGAACTCGTTAGCTTGTAGATGTAGCTATGTGGATCGTGATGGGATTACACGTATTAATGTAGTAAACTAAGGTGCGTGTATAGTAGGGTGTTGTGTTGATGTGTGTATTCACCTACAGATATGCAACATCGAGAA